CTTGCACGACAATATTTCGCACAAGATCTTTGATGAGTCCGCCGTGGTTGGGTGTCACATCAGCTGTATTTTTTTTTCTTGTCTTTTTTTCTGGTAGTTGGTAACCCTATTAGTTAGGTATATGTAATTATAAATTATGTTGATTTATATTTTTGCTAAGTACTGTTTATAATACTAGAATATCGAAGATGATGTAGGTTTAAATTTCTAATAAGGCTTTATGACTTTTCCTATAATACCATGGTGGGCCGGTCACTAGTCAAAATGCACTGTCAAAGAAGACAGTACAGAAATATGAATGTATTTTAAACGTATGTGTTCAAGAACAATCTTTGGGCTAAAAACCCAAGTGAGAAAATACACTTGATTCAGGAGCAGGGAACACAGACATGTGTATTCCCCTTAGTCCACATGTGTGAACTGCAGATGTGGACAAAAGGGACACAAAGCCAGAACGTGTCTGTTCAAGCAGTGGTGGAGTGAGTGTTAAATCCCCAAACATCGAAACGTTAACTGCAGACTGAAACAACAACGGGACAATGCGTGAAACATTTACTAGTCAAGTGTCAAGGAGTACGCATTCCGGATGAGCCACAAGGACACAGAGATCCAATCAGGTGTAAAAAAGAAATGCCTGATGATGGTGGACTTGGGAGTGGTGTCGCGTATGATTACCAATATAACAAATTTCAAGAATTTCGACGACAGTTTCCAGGAGTGTGGGCTATTTTATTTGAAATTTGTTAAATGAGTTGTGTCTTTGAAGTGTTGAGAAATTGGTGGAAGATTTCAAGGAATGTGTAGTACAACAATCCTTCATATAGTGGGTGGATATGAATAGTCTTTATTTTAGCACAAGTTAAACTCAACTTAGACACAATTGGTATAAGAGTAAGCATGTTAAATGATATCGATTGTATTGGACAAGGTTAAAAAAATACATATATATTTCCTGATGATATACATCAGTATGCTAACAAAACTCAAAACATCTGATGTTAAAAATGTAATCTAAAGTTTAAAAAAAAAACAGACTTTATTCTATAAATCAATTACATATTGCAGAGCATGAACCGCACGAGACAAAATTTTCTATTTTCACCTCGTGCTGCAGAAACAAGTAATATTTTCCTATGCGTTTCATCATTGTAAAATTGTAATTAATAACTTTGTCATATTCACAGCTCAAATGGCTGCATCTTATTCACGGAACACCTGCGTGGTGACCACCGTCGAGGTGGCAGGGTGCTGGTTTTCCCTGATCTTCAGCTCACGATTCATCTGGCACCAAACACACGGGTAACACCAAAGTATTTTGCAGCAGTCATCACAGCACGAGCCCTGCAGGACAGAGAACAGGAAGAGGAAGAAGAGGAGAGAGTAACGGGATCGATCAGCAGAGTTAATGTTGTAACTCGTGTAATTAAATGGAATTTAGATCGTTTTTATTTATATGACACTGTAATTATATTTACATACAAATACTTAAAGTTTAGGTGCACTAGAGAAAGAAGAGGGTAACAAGTTGGGTTTTTACAGGTATACAAAAAAATATGATACTAAATAATTTACTGAAGTTAAATAAAATAGTTTTCACTCTTCATTTTAGTTTTTAGTTTAATTTTAGCTAGCTACAATAACTTTATCCATCCTCCACTCTCACACTTACAGGAATGTTGTAGTGCGCTCTGATGGACTTGCGAAGTAAGCAGGACACCACGCAGAAAACGTCCAGCAGTGGCATGCCACAGCACCATCCATGTTTACTGGCTGTCTGACACTGCATGCAGGGGAAACACCAATATGCACAGCAACCTCGAAGAAAAATATATACAAGTGAAATATCTGTGTTCATATACATCACTGCTGTTCATAGAGTTTGCTGGGTTAACTTACAGGTGCCCACATCAGCACAGCAATCACAGAGGCCGGTGCTCCAGTTCCCCAGGTGTTGATTACCGCCCGTGACTGTCACCACCTGTGTGGGCTGCTGGTAGGCCATTCCTGAAGAAAATAGACAGAAAAAACAAGAGCCACGTAGAGAAAGGTTAAAGCTCATCTGTAAGGAGAAACCCAATCCAGACTATGAACTAATTTGAAGATAATCAGCTGCACACACCCTTCTGTTGCAGACATCTATACATCCCGATCACAAGAGACTCCCCCCATCCTGCATCTCACCTGTTCGACCTGCTTCAGAGAAAGACTGGTTTGAACATAACTATCTGCAGTGTTGCTTCTGTAACATGTTCAGCGGAGTATTACTCCTGCGTTTAAGGCCCTACAGCGGTCTTTTTGGCACAGAAATTGCACGTGACCGTTTAAAAACCACAGAACTGCATTTCCAAAACATCTTAAACGTTTTTTCCTTTCTTGAAAAAACACACAGTTTGCTTTTGTAGTGGAAAATTTGTGTTTCCACTCATTTAACCTCTGTGTACTATTGGTATGTAGTTGTTTCTTTCCTATAGAAAGACTCAGTGGGCATAGATGGGAAAATAGCCACTTTTGAGTCCCTACTGTCAGCCTGGTGCCTACGTAGCTGTGGGAAGAAAACCAGCGGAAGAAAACTGCCAAGCAAAGATTGTATTCATGCAGTAGGTATAAAGGAGCTGTAATTGTTTGTTTCATCATTAACACTGGTCTAAAAAAAAAAAACCAAGTTCAGTCTACGTTTACCTGGGCAAAAAAAATCAAGCTTTAACATGAACCTACCTATCCCAGCTGAAACGAGAGTTCCAGAGAAGCTGATTTTTTTTTTTTACTTAATTTGGTTTTCCCAAAACATTTGTCGCACTGAAGTTGGGATTCCCCCCCCCCACACCATTTTCATGCTTATACAAAAAAAAAACCTGCAGATTTTCTTGTGTTCGAGCAAATGACTGAAAAGAGTGTCCAACATATGAGAGCAGTCATCGCTGAAAGCTCAGCTGATAAAGAATCACAAGTAAAAGGTTTTGTTTTGTTTTTTTAAACAGAGAATGAAGATGGGGGTAGACTGATCACAAGGACAGAAAGTATGCGCTGGTTAATGCAGAAGGAAAAAGTGGCAGGAGGACATCATAATGCACAGAATCCTCATAACCTCATGAGGCAGTTCCTGTTTTGATCCCTCACTGGTACCTCGGACACCAGTATCATGATTAAAACAGTCCACACCACAACACTCAACTGGGCCAAGTTACACAAGGTGTACTAAGTAAATACCGCCAGACAGAAATACGAAGCACGGTTAAAAAGCACACAAAAGCACTTCAAAGAGCAGAGTTACAGATTAACTCGTGTTACAGATTAACTCACCGACAACTTGCTATTCAGGAGCCGCCACAGACAAACTGGAAATAAACGAGTGAATATTTGGTTTTTAGAGATGTATTTCTTTTGCGTTTTATGTGTCTGCTGACACTTTGTTTTAGACAAAAAAAAAAAAAGACCTGGAGTTTACCTGGTGACGGTACGACGCAGAGGAACGATCCAGGTGTCTGCGCTGATCCGTGTTCGTAATTCCGCAGACGTTGAACTGTTGGGTGGTGAGGGCCGGCTTGAAACACGTGATCAATGACGCTTGATTCGACACGTTACTGCTCCATGCCTGATTCAAGGGTTTCTAAGGGATTGAATTTTGGTGGAATTTGTGCTTTTGGTGGGGATTTTGTGCGAGAGATGAGTCTCAGTATTTGCGACTTAATGAGAGGCATGGAGCCAAAGAGGAAGAGAGGACGTGCTAATGTTCCTAAATAAACACCAGGTCATCAGCAATTCTTCCTCCGGGTCTAAAATGTGCATAAGAAATACACTGTTCATATAGTTACAGTTGTAATTGTGTAAGTTGCAGTGTATTATATATAAACGTACCTGTCCACTGGTTAAATACACAATTACTAGGAGGCAGGGACCTCTCAGCACAAGCATACTCCCAGCCAGAGATGGGCAGTAACGCGT